AATTTTACATGTAGCCCGGATGTAGCCCGGATGCTGGAGTGTTATGATATAATTATGATCTTTAGGACACGATCAATATAAATGTTATGTCATGAATTTGTTTTCGCGTATCTGTTGACCGACTTAATTAGCTGATTATTAGTGAATTGCTGTGTTATGTCTGTCATCGTTTAGGCCTATTTGAAGTTTTGGACGGAACTTGGCTCAATGATTTGGAACTAATTACGAGATAACCGTCGCTATTCGGACTACTATTTCTGACAGTTGGTATCCGTAGTTATTAATGTAGTGAACGATTAATCAAAAGATATGACGTATTCAGTACTTATTGTGATTGGCTTTATGATTGAAGGTTACGCCCTAGAGTCTTTTTACTGTTTTGTAATTGGTTAGAGATTAGAAAATGAATAAAGAGAGTTTTAGTTGGTCTTGGCGAGTAGACCAGGACAAGTCCAGTCCTGGAGAGTCTTGGGTCAGCCTTGCAATAGTCTTGGGGATTTTTCCCCAGGGCGCTGTGTCTTATAGAGTGCTCGACAGATCGACTAAGACGAGAGCTGAAACGTATTTCGCTGTGTGTGTCTTATTTGACTGTAAAGCTTAAGTGACTTTCCCGATCCCGCACCTCAAGGGGACGTGACATAGAGCCGAGACGAGATTTTCCCGGGCCCCTGACACGTGTGGAGAACCCCAGAGAGAAGAATTTCCCCGTGATAGTTACATCATTTGCGGAACTTGGCATGGCATGGAACACGGCGGAAAACAATGATTCAGTAGACTTGGCCGAGATTCCGTACAACATTATTAGGCTTTATTCCCAAAACGTTAAACCGTGAATATACACTATCATTTGTGTAGGACGTGTATATCGTAATTTGACTTTATCCAATACATGGTTTAAAAGATACAAAACAAAACTCTAAATAGATTTGACTTATTTGAAAAAAAATCGATTACAAAAAGTAATTACACAAATATGATAATAATACAACGCTTTCAAAAACTCGTACCCACCAATTAAAGCGCCTGCAGTCGTCGCGCAGCGCGTTGAATTTTGCGTAAACAAACAACACGCGTTGCAAACGTCACTACGGGTCCCATACTGAACAGGACGCGGTGTGACAACTATTATGTCAGCTCGTCCTGTCGGATTACAAGAAGAACTCTATTTTAGGACCATATACAGCCAGTAACTTTTTCAGTTCATTACCGTTCACAAATTGAATTAACAGACTGCACAGCAGACTGCGAATAATCTTTTAATTTCATATATTATGTTGTCATACAATGTACCACAAGCTTGACTGGTTGAAACTATGGATAGTACAAGTTCGATAAGTACTCCAGTCGGGGTGAGGTATGTACAGTTTGCGTGTGAAACGAAGTCATTCGCGGCTACCAGCAATTCAACGCGGCCGCCATGTTGTGACACGAATAAAACTTTTCTATTTATAAATGAATGCAAATTATTGTGATGACTGATGTTAATCAAAACTATTGTACTTCTCATGAATATTCATACGCTAATTTTCCAGAATGTAACACGCGTCAGTTGTTTATTTGAGAACCAAACCATAATTACTCCCACGCGTATATTTGATTAAGTTGGGTAATCACCAAGCTGTGTGCACGTGATGTTTTCATAGTTTATCTCACGTCTTCACGCCACAAGTGTTTATGTGTCACGTCCAATTTAAATATTGTCACGTGATATTCAGCATTCTGCCATTTCGTTCAAGCTCAGACAACCAACCCAATCTTTGCCTGAGGTTCAAGAGGGAAATAGTCGCCGAACTCTCAATCTATCGCCGGCAGCTAAGCTCCACATTTCGTAAAAGTTCTTCTCTCGGTGAGTCATTTTAAACTTTGGCGATTGAAGTTAGTTTCAATATTTCTTAAAAATTGAAATTATGTGGAATACAGCCCGAATGACAATGTTATGACCCGAATTACACTGTCCGTACAGAAAAAAATGATTTTTATTTGTACAGAAAGTAACATATTTTCACTTTGGTCAAGATTTGGTCGAAAATCGTGACATATAACATTTTCATTTTCTGCGGTATCGTTTGTTTGTCAGGAAAGCGACCCCGCTGGTTGTAATCGTAAATCAACAAGAACAATTTACGTTGTATGTCATTCAGCGATGTCGTCTGCGTTTTAGTTTTCCCGCTTCTTTTGTACATATCTCCTGTCAGGTATATTGAAACAAAACGCTGAATCAAGGTGTGTCTCACCGGAGTTGTAGTATAAACGAAAACACATACAATCATCTTAGTATAAAATATAGTATTTTGGTATATAATATATTTTCTGTAACACAAACTCTCGTGTCAAAAGCAGTAATGGTCGAAGCATTTTCACACTATTCAAACCAGTATAATATTTATTTTACTAATTTATATCTGTCACATGCTTGTGGTTATCATTCTGACTGTAGCTACAAACAGACGTTCACGTGCATGTGGAACTATACCAATGTGATACTAATAGGGAACATCAACGCCGAGCCATGAGAAATATTTGCTTTAACGGTACTATCCGCCACTAAGACCAAAACACATCTCTTCAGATTAATTATGATCAAACACAATTATAGAGCTTGTCATTATGCGGATCACAAGCCGATATGACAACTAGTAATACATTGAGTACGGACGGACGAACGTCATCACAGTTTGGAATAATACGGGCATCTGAATATTCCCAGGGCTGTTTATAGCTATCTCGTTTATATTCAATTGTTTAACGACACTTTTATTCATGTTAAAATTATAACTCGCCTTCTATGCGAAAACGCAGCATGCACCTGTTCACTTATAGTTACTAGTAGTTTGAGAGCATATCTGTGTGTGGAGCCGGATCGAAAGATAACAATGAAATAAAAACATGTCGCTTGTCGTGGAATACCGCGGTAATTGAAATATATTCGATACCACCCTTGCTGTCATGATAATTACGAATATTTTATATTGTTGATAATATTTTTATAGAGACAATATGCCGTGCAGTACGCGTTTCATGTAAACAAACAAACAAACAAACAAACAAACAATGTACTTTACGAGCGTTGTAGAGTCGCATGGGGCCCATACCGGCGAACACGGCACGATGCGACGACTACAGCGTTTAAATAATTGTGCTTGATATCGCATCTTGATAAAAACCATAAGGGTACGATTTATTGTAATTTAAAATTAAAATAATGCCTTTGCCATAATAATATGTCGAATTACCTGTACATATAGGTACTTATTACATACATCGTAAAAATACTGCTGCTAATGTTTTCTGCCAATGTTTTCTGCCAATAATTGAATTAAGGAATTTTTTTTTGATTTTTCAGAACAAAAATAAACATACTCAAGTTGAATATCTCCATTGCCTTTTTGAACATTCTCTTCGCGTGCAAATATTCATCAATACAATGTACATACAATATTCAATGTTCATTTCATATTGCATATTACGTCATATTATGACGTTCATTAGGCTGCATATTGAATATGTTTATTCGCAGAATGATACACGTTTTAAAAAAAATGATTACATAAACAGTGAATCGGTACCAGTTGTTGCAAGGATAGATACTGACCCATCTGTTATTATTTGTCAAGTTTCCACCGTTGAAAAAGACAACTATTTTTTCCCACGAGGACT